AAGGCACCAGGGAGGAACAATACTTAGAGCCCTCGCCCCTCAGAAGTCCCCGGGAGGACCCAAGAGGCCCGTGAGAAACGCCAAGAGGCTCCCAGCAACCCTCAGGAGGCCCCCAAGAGGCCGCAAGGCGGCCCCTGCAGAGCTTTTGCCATGGAATATAGACAAGAACACATCGTGCAAGAACAGTATATTAAATTTGTATTATTTTTTCGACAGGAAAATGCACATCGGAAAGGAAAAATGATCAGAATATATTATGTTTTGCAAAGGATGAAGCATTTTGAAAGGCAGAATGTTAAGGTTATATTATTTTTTACAATATAAAATCCCGGGTTACATGCGGGGTCGCGAACCGGGGCCGGGCATTTTGTATTATAAAAAATAAGGCTTTCTGATCGCATGATCAGGATATAGTATTTTTTGCAAGGGATGAGCCGGGGTCGCGACCGGGGCCGGGCAGAATGCATTGTAAAAAAAAATGTTTTCTGATCGCATGATCAGGGAATAATATTTTTGTAAGGGGTGGAGGCCGGGTTGCATAGCGACCGGTTTGGAAGGGATTAGGGTTTAAAATTATAAGGATTAGAGATTTAGGTTTTAGGGTTTAAGCTTTAGGCTTTCGGCTTTAGGCATTAAGCTTTAGGCTTTAGGCTCTTGGCTTTAGGCTTTGGCCGCGACCCACCGTAAAACACGGTGGGTCGCGGCCCTCGGGGGGAAGTCGTAAGGGTCTCGGGAGGCCCCCGAGGGCCGCGACCCACCGTAAAAAAAACGATGCCCTCACCCTCTTGGCACGCGCCAAGAGGGTGGGTCGCGGCCCTCGGGGGCCTCCCGAGACCTTACGATTTCCCGCGAGGGCCGCGACCCACCGTAAAAAACGGTGCCCTCACCCTCTTGGCACGTGCCAAGAGGGTGAGGGCACCGTGTTTTACGGTGGGTCGCGGCCCTCGGGGGCCTCCCGAGACCCTTACGATTTCCCCCGAGGGCCGCGACCCACCGTAAAAAACGGTGCCCTCACCCTCTTGGCACGTGCCAAGAGGGTGAGGGCACCGTGTTTTACGTGGGTCGCGCCCTCGGGGGCTTCCCGAGACCCTCGCGATTCCCCCGGGGCCGCGACCCACCGTAAAAAACTGTGCCCTCACCCTCTTGGCACGTGCCAAGAGGGTGAGGGCACCGTGTTTTACGGCGGGTCGCGGCCTTCGGGGGCATCCCAGGACCTGCGGTGTAGGGTTTAGGGTTTAGGGTCTAACAGGGCAAGGCCAGGAATACCTACCTGCATAGGCACTCACCTGCGGCGGCTATCAATCCCCCCCGCATCTCCACCCCCACATAAAGATCATCTCTCCTCTCATGTTATACCGTGGTTGTAGCATAGCATAGCATACCATAGCAAGCCTGGGAGCAAGCGCTTAGCAAAGAGGCGGCGGCCGCGCGCGCGCGCGGGAGACCCTAACGGGCGGGTCGGGTCGGGTCGGGCGGGCGGACCCTAACGGGCGGGTCGGGCCAGGTCGGGCGGACCCTAACGGGCGGGTTGGGTCGGGAGGGCGGGACATTCAAGTATGGTGCGTGTACACTTGACACGCGTGAACCCTAACAGCGGGTCGGGTCGGGCGGGCGGACCCTAACGGGCGGGTCGGGTCGGGTCGGGCGGACCCTAGCGGGCGGGTCGGGTCGGGCGGGCGGGGCATTAAAGTATGGTGCGTGTGCACTTGACGCGCGTGAACCCTGACGGGCGGGTCGGATCGGGTCGGGTGGGCGGGCCCTAACGGGGCGGTCGGGTCGGGTCGGGCGGACCCTAACGGGCGGGTCGGGTCGGGCGGGCGGGACATTAAAGTATGGTGCGTATGCGCTGGACACGCGTGAACCCTAACAAGCGGGTCGGTTCGGGTCGGGCGGACTCTAGGGTTCGCCCGACCTCAACGCGCTTTGCTATGCAACGCCTCTCGTATGCTATGCCAGCATAACATAGATTAGCACAAAGGCGAGTTCCACAACATCTGGATAACCGCAGCCTCTAGCGTGGCTGTCGCATAGCACCACTGCATAAAGAAAACATCAAAATTCCCAAAGGAGTTGGCCATGATCGCGCGGCCGCCGCGCGCTTGTGCACTTTGTCGTATTTTTCGCAATGGAATAGTACCATGCACACATCTTGCAAAGACAGAATCTTCAGTTTATAATATGTTTTACAATATAAAACTCCGGTACGCATGCGGGGCCGCCGCGCGCGTGTGCTTTTTGTCGTGTTTTTTGCAATGGAATATGAACATGGACACATCTTGCAAGAGCAGGATGTTAAGATTAGTATTTTTACAAGAGAAAGCTCCGGTACACTTCCACGCCCGCGACGTGCGTGTGCACTTTGTCGTATATTTTGCAATGAAATATGGACATGGACACATCTTGCAAGAGCAGGATTTTAAGGTTATAGTATTTTTTACAAGAGAAAGCTCCGGTACACTTCCCGGCCCGCGGTCCCGGACGCGAGCCGGGTTGGGCAGAATGTATTGTAAAAAATCAGGTTTTCTGATATATGCGATGCGCATGATCAGGATATAGTGTTTTTTGACAGGGATCAGCCCGGTTCGTTTATAGAACCGGTCACGATCCATTGTAAAAAAAAACATTGTTTTCAGAGCACATAGAGAGCGCATGATCAGGAAAGTTATTTTTTGCAAGGGAAGGAGGGGGGGATACATAGCGCCCGGTTTTGAAGGATTTAGTGTTTATTAATAATAGAGATTAGAGATTTAGGGTTTAGGCCCTAGATCGCAGATCGCGTTCCGTGGGCTCCGTGGGCTGAATGGCCACCAAATGCGAGCGGGCACGCATTTGGTCGTACCCTCTTTTCCCCTCTTAGCACATTTGGTGCGAGCGGGCACGCATTTGGTCGTACCCTCTTTTCCCTTCAGGCCCACCAAATGCGTGCCCGCTCGCATTTGGTGGGAACAGAGGGTACGCGAGGGGCCCTGCGTACCCTCTTTTCCTTCCAATATGCGAGCGGGCACGCATTTGGTGGGCCTGAGGGGAAAAGAGGGCACGACCAAATGCCGTGCCACGCTGGCCACCAAATGGGCTAAGAGGGGAAAAGAGGGTAGCGAACAAATGCGTGCCCGCTCGCGTTTGGTGGCAATGTAGCGCCCCTGAGGGCGCCCTGATGGGGGAAAGAGGGTGCGACCAAATGCGTGCCCGCTCGCACCACATGGGCTAAGCTGGGAAAAGAGGGTACGACCAAATGCGTGCCCGCTCGCGCTTGGTGGCAATTTAGCGCCCCTGAGGGCGCCCTGAGGGGAAAAGAGGGTACGACCAAATGCGAGCGGGCACGCATTTGGTCGTACCCTTTTTTCCCCTTAGGCTCACCAAACGCGTGCCCGCTCGCATTTGGAAGGAAAAGAGGGTACGCAGTTTTCCCAACCAAATGCGAGCGGGCACGCATTTGGTGGGCCTGAGGGGAAAAGAGGGCACGACCAAATGCGTGCCCGCTCGCACCAAATGGGCTAAGAGGGGAAAAGAGGGTACGACCAAATGCGTGCCCGCTCGCGTTTGGTGGCAATTTAGCGCGCGGAACGCGATCTGCGATCTAGGGTTTAGGGTTTAGGGTTTAGGGCTTCTGCGCAGAACCATCCTATCCCCCCCTCCTCAGGAGGTAGGGGGGGATGGATGGATGCGTTCTGTCCCACCCCATCCACCCAGAGTCATTGCTTTTAGGGTTTAGGGATCTACCCCCTCGCTCCCCCCTATCAAGGGGGGAAGGAGTGCTGGCGTCAGCCTGAGTGAGTGATGTGCGTCCCATAAACACGCGTTCTAGGGCTCTAAGGGGAAGGGGGCCAGCTTACATTACACCCTCCAGCTCCCTACGTTGCATGCTGCCGAGCCACAACTATACAAGGGGCGTGCACATCAAACGTGGCGAAGCCTCAGCTATATACCGGCCGTGTGACAAACGAGGCGAAGCCTCAATATTAGTACACGTACGCATTCATCTTTTCAAAGATCGGAGCGGGGCCGACAGGCCCGTAAAGCGCTGACAGCGCAGGCAACCCTGGACCGACAGGCCATAAACGTAGGGTGGGGAAGGAGCCCAAAAACTACAAGCCAGATCAAAACGAGACTAAAGTGACATCAAGAGAGGAAGAGGAGCGGCCACCCCCTAATACACCCTATAAAATCGAGCCCGAGAAATAATGTTGAAAACTCATATTTAGGATATGGAAGGGGCTGCTCCCTACGTTGCATGGCCGAGCCACAACTCCTGGCACATCAAACGTGGCGAAGCCTCAGCTATCTACCGGCCGTGTGACAAACGAGGCGAAGCCTCAATATTAGTACACGTACGCATTCATCTTTTCAAAGGTCGCTGAAGCGGGGCCGACAGGCCCGTAAAGAGCTGTGTGCACGTGTCTGGATGCTGACGCGGCATCCTGCACGGGCCGCTGCAAACCCAGGGCCTTGCACAGAAAAAACACCACGTGTAGAAGATAGTATCCATAACTGCAAGGTGGAGGGGTGGGAGGAGGAGCCCAAAAAGCTACAAGCCAAGATCGTAAACGGAGACTAAACGTGACGATCAAGAGAGGAGGAGGAGAGGAAGCGGCCACCCCATAAATACACCCCTATAAAATCGAGCCCGAGAAATAATGTTTGAAAACTCATATTCTAGGGCTCTAAGGGGAAGGGGGCCAGCTTACATTACACCCTCCAGCTCCCTACGTTGCATGCTGCCGAGCCACAACTATACAAGGGGCGTGCACATCAAACGTGGCGAAGCCTCAGCTATATACCGGCCGTGTGACAAACGAGGCGAAGCCTCAATATTAGTACACGTACGCATTCATCTTTTCAAAGGTCGCTGAAGCGGGGCCGACAGGCCCGCAAAGAGCTGTGTGCACGTGTCTGGATGCTGACGCGGCATCCTGCACGGGCCGCTGCAAACCCAGGGCCCTGCACAGAAAAAACACCAGCCCTGGAGAGAACGCATTTCTCGGGTCTGGCGTCCAGCCGCCTCACTTGGACCTCTGTCTCCTCTTCTGGCGCTTGCCACGCGCACTCGCATCAGGCCTCCGCGGCTCCTCCTGCACCGTAGTGCTGGACGCCGCCTCGCTCAACGTCTGACTGGATCCCATCTCGATCCTCCTCTGGAGCTGCAGCACCATGGCGGATCTCAGGGTCTGGTCGCCAGCCCTCGGCGAGCTCTCGATGGCGTCCAGCAGGCTCTTGATCGGGTCATCCCAGAAGCTCTGGCCGCGCATGGCAATGTCTCCGCCAGCGCGAGCCCGATGTCGGACGAGGTCGTGTAGCTTCGTATACCTCTGCACGGCCGCCGCCGACCTCCAGCGCCCGCGACGCCTCGTGGCCTCGAGGGTGAAGCCGCACTCGACGTAGTCAGACGCTCCCGAATGGCGAAGACCGTGCGGAGGCCCGCACCACTCCAAGTCCAGCGCCGCCAGGGCTTCCCACCACCGCTTGCGGAAGGTGGCGGGGGTGAGGGGGAAGATCAGGTCGCCGCCCCCCGCGACGTCCTTCGCCGCCCGCAACAGGGCCATCACGAAGCCGAACCTCAGTACCACGCCCTGGTCGCTGCCCGTCTTGACTGTCTCGCCTCGAGCTCGCACGCCAAGCGCCAGACTAGCACTGCTTCCGTCGAAATGAACATCCTCCGTCCGCAAGAGACTCCAATCCTGCTCTCTCAAGCAGCAGTCGAAGGAGAGCAGCACTAGGATGGACTCGTACAGCTTCCCTTGCTGGATCATCCACAGCGCGATGCATGCAATCGTTGTGCGGGCCAAAGGCTTGCCCTCGCCCTGTGCCGCCATCCTCAGCCACGACTTGAGGGCCCGCGCCGCCTGCGGCATCTTGTCGCGATGGTCCTCGTAGATGTGCAGAAACCCGAAGAAGACGGCGTTGCCCACGCCGACGCTGGACCGGTGGAGGTAGCACAGCGAGGACAGGTAGTTGGCCATCGCGGCGTCCCTCTCGGCGTACGTCTCGAAGGGCACCTGCTCCCTCTTCACGTCCTGCAGGAAGCTCCGCACCTCCTTGACGTACTTCCTGTTGGTGTTGTCGTCGACTGCATGGGCACACAGGCGGTTCGCCAGCTGCGTCCCCCCCGCCACTGCGTGCTCCCACGCGCGGGCGCCTCTCCCTATCAGAGGAGGGGGAGTCGCGGCCCTAGACTTCGTCGGGCTCGCTCCCAGGCGCACCGCGTCGGTCCCGTCGGCGAGCTGCATCACGATCACGACGAGGATCACCAGTGGATGGCATCGGGCTCGCCGCCCTGGCCCCTCAGCCGCCTGAAGGCCGCCCTCAGAGACCTGGGCAGCCCTCTGGTGACGTGGCCTTGGACAGTGTCGGCCGCGGCGCCCTTCGCGCCTCCACGAGACGGCCCGTCCGCCACGTTCGACTCCGAGGGCACCCAGCGCAGGTAGAGCCTGATCCCGCACGCGAGCTGCACCGCGGCGGCCATCCTGCACAGCCGCAGCAGCTGGTGCGACGACGCCCTGCCCTTGCCAAGGGCGCCCACCACGACCAGCGAGTCGGTGAAGACCAGGACCCGCCGAGCCCATGAGCGGCTGCTCCTGGCCAGATGACGCAGCACCGCCAGCACACCCCTGCCCTCCAGCACGTTGTTGTGCTCGGCGCGCTCCCACTGACCCACGAACGTGGTGGCCCAGCGCTCGGGGTCGAGCCAGCTCGCCTCCAAGGGCGGTGCGGGCTGCTTCGCCGCCCGCCTCAAGTGCGGAGGCAGGGGGCGAAGGACCCCAGGCGGCGCCGCGGCGCGCCCCACCTCCACGATGGCCTCGCAGAGCGCCAGGGGGTACGGGCAGGCCAGCTTCGTCCACTTCGTGCCACAGGGAGCGGTGCCCCGCAACTCCTGGTGGGGGCAGCCCGTCGCCGAGCACCTCGCTGCCGTTCCTGAGCACCTCCGTCCTATCGCCAACAGCGCCTCGCAGGAGGTCAGGATGCGCGTCGGCTTCTTCCACGCCATGCCGAACTGGCAGTAGTCCACCTCCAGCGTGAACACGTCCACCCGCTGGGCCAGCGCCATCATCTCGGGCAGCAGCCAGATGAGGCTCGACGCCGGGTTCTCGAGCGCGAAGTGCACCCCAAGCGTGAGGGCCAGGGTGCACGCCTCGATCGCGACCAGCGCCATCAGAGAGCCATCCTTCACCTTCCTGCGGTCCGCTCTCCCGAGACCCGGGACTCCCCACAGATGGGAGGGGGTTCGCAGCTTCGGGATCCTGGCTCGCGAAAAGGTGGAGCACGGCGGACCCGCGCGCACCCACCAAAACTCGCCCTGCCTGATCCGCAGCATCAGCCTCGCGATGGTGGGCTGGTGCAGCAGGTCGTACTGGGGGCCGTTGTCGATCTCCCACGCCTCCGTCCAAGTGGGGACTCCCACGCGGAAACACTCGGCCAGAGCACCCGTCCCAGCGAAGAGCTCCGCCATGCCAGGTCGGCCCGTCAACCTGAAGCCCGTCGCCGCGTCCGCGTCCTCCTGGAACAGGTCGTCCTTCGCACTCTCCTGCCACTCGTGCTCCGAGTACGCCGTGTCCACCTGCGCGCCCCATCCTTGCTGCCGAGCCCACTTGGCCTCGGATCTCTGTGCGTCGGGCGTCGCCTCCGTCGACATCACTGCGTACCCGTAGTTGCTGGCGTCCGTCATGCACGCCTGCGAATGCCAGGCCAGCGACAGCTCCGAGAAGAAGAACACCGAGAGCGCGGCCAAGGCGTGCAGCTCGGTGACTACGTCGGTCCACATTCGTCGAGGGCGAAGGCGATCGTCTGCCGCATGGATCCACGCATAGATGACGTGCGGGATAGCGAAGGCCGCCCGAGAGAGCATCATGACCCGCGCCCAGTGCCCCATGACGACCTCGACCAGCGCGGGCGAGGCGGACTCCTCCAAGGTCAGGGCCTCGGTGGCCAGCACCAGGTCCCTCAGCTTCTCCTCCTTCACGCGACACCGCAGGGAGACCGGGTCGATGGTGACCCCCAGCTGCTCGGGCAGGCCGACTCCCTGGCTCTCCTTGTGCACTGCGAGGCCGCGCGCTGTCACCGCGCTCCTCGCCTGACCAGCTACCTCCGACAGCACTGGGTCGTCCGCCCCCTCGCCGAGGAGGCCTCCGCCGTAGTCGTCGATGTAGAGCCAGTACAACAGCTGGTGGTCCGCGAGGCTCGGGACAGGGCTGCCGTGCTCCACGCGCCCCGCCCCGTCGGACTCCAGGTCGTCGAAGCAGTCCATCAGCGCCGTGTGTGCGAGGAAGACCGCCCAGCTCCAGCCCATGGGGACGACCGTGCAGGCGACCCCCAAGGTGCCCTCTGGAGGTCGCGGCAGCGATACGCCTCGCTGCTGACCGAACTCCCAGAGCGACCACGGATCCACCCCAGCCAGCACAAAATAGGAGTAGAGCTCGGGGATATTCTGCAGCCTGTAGAACATCACTGGCACGTCCCCCTGGAAGGTCAGGAACTGCTGGTCCCCCAGGACGTCGGGCCCGAGGTCGATCTCCGCGAGAGCTGCTGGCGAGCCGAGCGGCACCCAGGGCGGGTCCTTGAAATGTAGGTTGACCCGCCGAGCGTCCCAGACGAGGCGGGACACCACTTCCCGCCCCGACTTCGTGTGGGCCACCTTCTTGACCACGGTGAACACCGACAGCTTCTCCCGCACGTCGTCCACGTACGTCAGCATGTTCGACTCCCACATCTTCAGCGCGAGCTCGAGCCGGGCGACCCCCTGCTTGTGCTCCGGCGCCTCGTGCGGTTTGATCTTGTAATAAGCTTGCATGTCGATCTCGCCCTCCGACTTCAACATCAAACGTCCAGGCTCGTCGAGGTAGGCCTTCGCCGTCACAGCCAGCTTCTTCACGCTGACCCCTCGTAGCCCTTTCGGAGGCAGGTCGACCTCCTCGACCCGCAGCGGGCATAGAGCACCCCTCTGCAGGCGATCCTCCTCCTTCTTCTCCGAGGCAGAGCCGCCCCCATAGCCAACTGGAAGCTTCTCGCCAAAGCGGCGCAAAACCGCTCTGCCGTCGTCGATGGATCCCCAGGTCGCCCTCCGACTCTGCTCGTTCCAAATCCTCCTGACGATCTCCTTCTGCAAGAACGAGGCCTGGTTCCAGGGGCACTCCGACGCCACCTTGGTCCAGTCCTTCAGCTCCTTGAGGTGGCCCCGGCTCAGACTCCGGAGAGCCGCAACGGTCCGACATGACCTCAACCACGTCACCCGCAGCTCGCTCTCGCTCATCTCCCCGCCACTGGGCCCGCCCCAACTCGCTGGCACAAACGGCAACGTCCCCAACAGATCTCGATGCGCCCGAGGCCGCCCCGAGCTGGGCACGAGGGGCTCCCCGATCTGGTCCCCACCTGACATCTGAACGACGAACTGGTGCGCGACCAGGATGAGAGGGCAAGTACAAGAAAGTCCTCACGTCCTCCGAGTTGAAAAAGTAGAGCACCGACGCCCGCTCGCGGTAGCTCTCTGGGGCGGACAACGCTGAGCCCCCGTTGCCGAGGGAACGCGTAGGGCTGCCAGCCACAGACGATGAAGAGAAGCACCTACTCCCCCAGGTAGAAAGGTCGATGAGCACCGCGAAGAGGATCCCGACAAGCAGAGCCCTCGACCGGTGCACGGGTGGCATTCCGCCTTTGAACCGCTCCCCCACCAAGGAACGGCTAGACCTTCACTCGTCCTTCGCGGCCGACTCCGAGACCGACCCTAAGTGCTTCTGGAAGAGCGCCTTCCTCTTGAGCTTCTCGGTCACCTCGTCGTCAGCCGCATCGATATCGTTCTCGGAACGATCAAGGCGGAAGTACTGCTCGGCCAATACCCAATCCACCTTGCTCCGCCACTTGGCCCCCGTCTGGTTCTTCGGGCGCAACCAGTCCTCGCGCCGCTGGACCTTGTCGAACGCCTTCATCAAGCTGTAGATGCGGAGGCACACCAGCTCCGCCGCCCTCGAGTTGATCACCGTGCTCGGGGGGTCCGTCTCCAGCATTCGGTCCAGCACCATGCCCATGACAGTGACCTCCGCGGCGGCGTTGCAACTCTCGAGCTCCTTGCTGCGCAGCCACTCGCGCAGCTCAGCCTGCGCCGTCCTCCCGCCTCGGTAGAGGCGAGTGAGGACCTCCGGCGCCACACGCGTGCGGATCTCCCCCACGCGCCCGAGGTCCACCTTGTCGTCGAAGCCCTTCAGCGCCTGGATCATCGTCTCGCGGGGGTTGCGGGACTCCATCTCCAGCTCGTCGATGCGAATCTTCAGCGGAGTGCGCGCCGAGCCGTCCGAAGCACCGCTCGAGGACCGGTCCCCGACAAGCTCGAAGCCGCCCCCCGAGGAAGGCGAAGGTGACGGGGCCGAAGATCCGCTTCCCCTCGTCGCCCGCGAGCTGTCCATCTCGACTATCATCTCGTGCTCCCTGAGCTTTCGCAACAGCGCATCGATCTGCCCCTTCGATGGTTCCACGAACTCGTCGCCCCGCCGTGCGTCCGCTGTGTCCGAGCGTGTCGACCGCGATGAGCGGGGCGTCCCGGGACGGTCCTCAGCCTCGAAGCGCACCGCAGGAGCAGTCGCCTTGAGCTCGCGAATCTGGTCGGCCAGCTGCGCCAGCTGCTCCTGTCCCGTCAAGATGGTGCGCAGCAGGTCCGTGGACGAGGGCTCCTCACCTGAGTCGGTATCCGAAACGGATGTGCCCTTTGCCCTCATGTCCCCGTCCTCGCTGTCCGAACCGTCATACTCTGAGCCCGTGTCCGAGGCACCCGTGTTGTAGTAGATGGCCCAGATGACCAGAGCGCCGATCCCCAAGGTGATCAAGTAGAAGTCCAGCTCGCCGCTCTCCCGCATCTCGCCCACGCTGTCCTTGATGTCCCCGAGGTAGTCGAACCACTCTCGTCCCTCTTGGTACGCATGATAGGCGGCTCGCGCCCACTCATACAATCCAAGGTAGTGCCACACACGCCAGCAGATGACGCCCGTCGCGGCCAAGGGCCCCCAGCTCCGCCGAGCCCAGGCCCACAGCCCCGCCGTCGTCACAGCTTCCATCGCACTGAACTTCGGGAGGAGCGAGAGCCGCTTGCGACCACCCTTCTTGACACCGGTCTTCTTCGGGCCCTCCTTCGTGACGCCATTCATCCTGTCGATGAGTCGAGCGCTAGCTTGTTCGGCTTCTTGCTTGTCATGAGCGCTCAACCCTTTGTGATCTGTGTAGACCACTCCCGTCTTCGCTCGAGTCGACGCGTGGATCTTATCCTTCGGGTTGATCAACTGCACCCGCCCCACAGGGTCCAGAGCCGTCCACTCGCCAGCCTTGCCGGGAGCCCGCTCCAGAAGCAGCATCACCACGCCTGTCGGCCCGTCCTTGGCCGTCCGCCAGTAGATCCGGTTCCACTTCTTGAAGGCCATCGTGTACCACTGCGAGCTCCCTCGATCTGGATGCCAAGGGAAGCTCTCCACCCGTTCGTGCTCGACCTTGAGCTCCGCGACCTCCTCGACGTCAGCGCCCTCCTCGAGCACCAGTCGGTCCTGGAGGCCCAGGAGCAGACACACCACCCAGAAGAACGTGGTGCCCCGCCGCAACGCCGTCCTGGCGCCAGGGGCACCGCCCCGCGGCCGAAGGCCGCGCACGTGCGCCAGCTGGGCGCAGCCGCGCCCCAACGCCGATGGCGGCGATGGGCGCTCACGGGCCCTCGGGGCGAGGCGCGGGCGCTGGCCACGAGCCTCGAAACCTTCGAGCCCAAAAAGCTACAAGCCAAGATCGTAAACGGAGACTAAACGTGACGATCAAGAGAGGAGGAGGAGAGGAAGCGGCCACCCCATAAATACACTCCTATAAAATCGAGCCCGAGAAAGAATGTTTGAAAACTCATATGAACCGTAACAAGCGGGTCGGGTCGGGTCGAGCGCACTCGAGGGTTCGCCCGACCTCAACGTGCTTTGCATAGGATTGTGGTGGTTTGCATAGCGGGACGTAAAGATCCCAATAGCAGGCTCGATCAAGGGGTGCGCCTGGGAGCACGCATGATCAGTTTATGATATTTTTTGAATGGGATTGTGATGGTTTACATAGCGGGACGTAAAGATCACCATAGCAGGCTCGATCCAGGGGCGCGCCTGGGAGCACGCATGATCAGTTTATAATATGTTTTGCATAGGATTGTGGAGGGGACCGCGACGATCCGCATGGCAGGCTCGATCCAGGGGCGCGCCTGGGAACACGCATGATCAGTTTATATAATGTTTTGCATAGGATTGTTTACATAGCGAGATGTAAAGATCACCATAGCAGGCTCGATCCAGGGGAGCGCCTGGGAGCACGCGCGATCAGTTTATAGTGTGTTTTGCATAGGATTGCGGAGGGGGCCGTGAAGATCCGCATAGCAGGCTCGATCCAGGGGCGCGCCTGGGAACACGCATGGTCAGTTTATACTATGTTTTGCATAGGATTGTGGAGGGGGCCGTGAAGATCCGCATAGCAGGCTCGATCCAGGGGCGCGCCTGGGGAGAGCTCTGGGGGAGAGCTCTGGGGGAGAGCTCTGGGGGGAGCTCTGGGGGAGAGCTCTGGGGGAGAGCTCTGCTGAGAGCTCTGGGGGAGAGCTCTGGGGAGAGCTCTGGGGGAGAGCTCAGCTCTGGGGGAGAGCTCTGGGGGAGAGCTCTGGGGGAGAGCTCCGGGGGAGAGCTCTGGATGAGAGCTCTGGGGGAGAGCTCTGGGGGAGAGCTCTGGGGGGGAGCTCTGGGGGAGAGCTCTGGGGGAGAGCTCTGGGTGAGAGCTCTGGGGGAGAGCCCTGGGGGGGAACTCTGGGCGAGAGCTCTGGGGGAGAGCTCTGGGGGAGAGCTCTGGGGGAGAGCTCTGGGGGAGAAGCCGAGAGGTATCCGTGAGCATCCGGAGGAGGGTTAGGGGTTATCATTGTGCAAGCGAAGCACCGCCTCGGGCCGGCGGGCCTATGGTCGCGGCGAGCTCGACTTGCAGCTCGCTCTCACTAGCAGATCCTTACAGGCGTGGCGGTGCGCGCCCCCAGGTCCGCGCCTGCAGTTCAGGGTTTAGGGTTCAGGGTTTTGGGTTTTGGGTTTTGGGTTTTGGGTTTAGGGTTTAGGGTTTAGGGTTTAGGGCTTCTCGGGCGCGCAGCGGCCGACAGTCCAGGCAAGGCTGCCCCCCCCCTTCGGCAAGCTTGATTGGGGGTGCGTTTAGCCGACCCGATCAAGCTTGGCGAAGGGGGCAGGAGGTGCAACATCTTCCCACCCCCGGCCGCATGGCCGGCAACCTCCCAAACTGCAGCCTTTTAGGGTTTAGGGCCGCTGGCCCCTAAATTCCCAAATAAGTTCCAAGCGCCCCCAGGCGCTCCCAGGCGCTCCCAGGCGCTCCCAGGCGCTCTCAGGCGCACCCAGGCGCTCCCCGGCCTCCCAGGGCTCCCAGGCGCTTCCGGCGCGCTCCGAAGCGCTCCCAAGCGCTCCCAGGCGCTCCCAAGCGCTCCCAGGCGCTCCCAGGCGCTCCCAGGCGCCCCCAAGCGCTTCCAGGCGCTCCCAGGCGCTCCCAGGCGCTCCCGGCACGTTCCCAAGCGCTCCCAGGCGCTCCCAGGCGCTCCCAGGCGCTCCCAGGCGCTCCCAGGCGCTCCCAGGCGCTCCCAGGCGCTCCCAGGCGCTCCCAGGCGCTCCTAGGCGCACCCAGGCGCTCCCAGGCGCCCCCGGCGCTTACAAGCGAAAGGTCTTTGGGTTTAGGGTGTTATAATCGTTGAGGATCAGGGGAGGTTTATCATTGAAGCGCGAATCCCCAAAAGAGGGGGAGGGCAGCAGCAAAAGCTGCCAAGGCGACCCACTCGGGCTACATGCTCAAGCATCTCAGAGATGCCCTGTCTCTCGTAGACGGCGACGGTGATGCGCGGTGGGGTGGGCAGAAGCACAACGAGGTGCTTGGGAATTTAGGGTTTAGGGTTTAGGGTTTAGGGTTTAGGGTGTCCTCTGTCAGCGCTGATCATCAATCGTGTAAGACCACCCCCACCCATAAAATGGAGTGGGGGTGGGGTAGTCGTGTGTTGGTGACATTATGTTGAGCGGAATCATGTTTCGGCTACGGGGCCAGCTCCCCTTTTCACATTCCCACCCCGCGCCCGTTAGGGCGGCGAACCACCCACGGCTTTCTCTATTAGGGTTCAGGGTTCATTCGGTACCCGAGATTTTCTTTCTCTTAGGGCTCTACGATTCCAATCAGTTTGGCGATCTTTCTCTTGTGTGCGACATACAATGTTTTGTGTATCACACTTTGGAGTTCGTAGTCGCGCGAGCTCCGTCCTTCGCGAAACGCAGCGACGCGATCCGACGAGTCGGGTCGAGGTCGCGTCGCTACGCTTCCCCGGGGGCCGCCGCGTGGAGGCGGACGGAGATGGCCCCCTAGGTTTCCGCGCAGCTCTGGCCGACCCCTCGCGCGCGTTGCTGCAAAGCCTCGGGGCCCCCAGCGACAGCGCGAGAGGTCGGCGAAAGCCGCGCGGAAGCCCCCCCCTCCGCCGCCGAGCTTCCAGACCAGACGGAGGCTCGGCGGCGCAGGCCGTCGTTGCGTCGTCGTCGGCGGCGGCTGCCAGCAGCTGCGGCAGGGTTTCGTGGGAGCCGCCCACCGCGACGGTTTCCCGCGGCGCCTGTGCGCGCCGCCAGTGCTTTCGGGCCGAGCCCCGAGCGCGCGCCCGCCTGCGCGCCCTCCGTGGACGCTGCTCAGAGCTGCGCGGGCACGAAGTGCTTCTGCTTGAGGAAGCCCACGAACTTCCAGTCCCTGTCGTGCTGCACACGGGAGAGCGCCACGTACCCCGCCGCCTCGACGCCAGGCGTGTCCATCCAGAGTGTCATGTGGCTGAGAGTATCGCCCTGCACCTTCATGAGGGTGGTGGCGTAGGCAAGGCGGAGCGGGTGGTAGACGTTGCGCCATTCCTGGTAAGTGTATGGCGCGACCTTGACCATGTGTCCAGTGGTCGTTTTGACCAGGACGCCCGTGTGGTCCATCATGATGACGTGGCCCTCGATGCCGTTGACAAAGTCGATCTCGGGGCGGATGTTGGCAGTGAAGCCCACGCGCTTGCCCTGGTAGATCGGGAGGCGCATGTTGTGCCAGCTGACCTGCTTGGTGCCGTAGAAGTTGTCGGGGTTGAACTCAGGGTCGGCGTCGACGGTGCCAAGCGGCTGGGCGTCGGCGAAGAAATAATCCAGGGCCACCCTGTTCACCCAGGCCGCGCCAGCCCTCGAGATGGTCACGAAGGTCGTTGTGGGGTACTCCTCGAAGACGCCACCGATCTCGCGCTCCGTGGGCCACTCGCGCTCCCACCATCCCATGTCTCGGCGGGTGATGATCGGAGCGCGATGGGTATTGAGGATCTCCACGAGTTGCGGCCTGCTCGGCGTGGCCGTGCGGAGGAGCTCGAGCTTCTTCTTGAGAATGGGGCACTTGCAGCGGCGCATGATCTTGAGTTCTCTCACGTCGAAGTCGGCCCAGCGCCAGTGCTCCAGGACGCGCGGGCTGTCCATCCAGCGGAGCTGTCGGAAGTCGCCGACGAAGACGAGCGCAGGGCGCCGCGCGGCCGCGTCCCAGAGGCGCAGGAGGCGCTCGAAGATCCACATCTCGACCATGCTGATCTCCTCGATGACAACGAGGTCGAAGTCCTGCATGCGCTGGAGCGTCTGCTGCTCGGGGAGGTAAACGTTGAAGGCCCTGTGGATGCTGTCGACGTCGAGGTCGGGCATGTCCTCGCGGTAGCGCGCCACCTGTCGGCGCGTGGGGCAGGCGAGGAGGACGCGGGCGCCCTGGGCGATGGCGTCCTGCATGACGACCTTGATGAGGAAGGACTTGCCGCTCCCCGCGGGCCCCAGGACGGCGATGGGGCGCGGGTCCTCGTCTTCGGACGGGCCGTGGTTGTGGTCCTCGTAGTCGTCGGGCCAGGCGAGCTCCACCGCCCTGTGCCAGCGCCTCGTGATGAGGTCGGCGACGGGTATCTGCTCGGGCTCGAGGGTGGTAATGCGGCCATCGAAGGCGTAGTGGTGTCGCGGCGGCTCGGGGTCTTCCCCGACCACAAGGCGGCCCTCCAGGTAGTCGTCGACGAGGGTGATGTGCGCCTTGATCATCGCCACGTTGGAGTCGATGGTCGGGTCGCGGTGGGCCTCCAGCTCCATGTCGGAGCGCAACCATGCCTCGCTCCGCCAGAGGTCCGGGCGGTGGAGGAGGCAGTGGGCGAACAGCCTGTACCCGGTCGGCACGAGCTCCGCGGCATCCTGCCAGAGCTCATGCACGCTGCGGAAGGGGACGTGGAGGAGCATCCACTGGCCGTAGTACTCGTCGCTGAAGCGGGAGTTGGAGCGCGCCGCCACCAGGACCTCGCCGCGCATGGGCACGCGTGCGGCCCAGGTCTCCAGGTCGACGTGGGCCACGGAGGGGTCGTTCGCCTTCTGGAGGTTGGCGTAGCGCAGGCGGAGCGCGCGGTGTACGCCGCCCCTGCTGTTGGAGCGCCGCACGTACTCCAGGAGGCTCATGTCGTCGGGTCGCCAGGCGCTGTGCGTGTAGCGCTCGACGACCGCGGGCATCTCCTTGCCCTTCCACGGCACGGGCACGGGGAAGTTCTTGACGGTGCCGTGCGTGAGGACCTGGGAGTACTCCGCTGCGGCCAGCTGGAGCCACATCTCCGGCTCGAGCGGGTGGAACTCCGTGAGGATGCGGCGGCTGATGGCGTAGTCGGAGGCCTCGTCGTTGAGCCACTCGGAGGAGAACTGGTCGGAGAACTTGGCCGTGTAGGAGGAGACGTAGCGCAGGAGCATGCCGCGGCCATCGGAGGTCTGCACGTCCATGTGGGACTTCATGCCCGCGATGACGGCCGGCATGTAGGCGCGGAGCTTGTGGTGCAGGTCCCTGGCGGTGTGGTGGAGCCTCAGCGTCTTCCCCCGCTCGTCCCAGATCGAGTCCTCTTTGCGCTCAGGCCACGGATGGGAGCCGTGCGTGGAGGTCTGGGAGCCCATGACGATGTGGTAGAGCTGCTCCTGCTCCTCGTCGTCAGGGATGGTGGCGGAGACCTTGCTCGGGAGATCGATCGTGGCGACCTTCTCCAGCCAGACGAGGCAGTGGACGTGGGGGCGGCCGCTGCCGTGGTAGGCGTGCCGCGCGTTGGGCCCGCCGCGCTTGCGCTTGCCGTCCTGGAACTCGATGCGCGCGAACTGCGTGATCACGCGCTGCGTCGGCTTGCCCTCGGCGTCCTTGCCAGCAAGCACGTGGTGTGTCCACCCCGAAGACTCCCGCGAGTTGACCTTCCCCTTGGTCCCGGTCAGCAGCCCGACGATGGCCTGGGTGAGCACGTGCGACAGGTGGTAGGTCTCCGCGGCCGGCAGCCAAGTGCGCGACCGCAGCGTCCGCCGCATCTCGTCCTCGACCCAGACGTGGAACGGCGTGGACCACTCCAGCGGCGACAGGGTCACGAACAGGGTCGGGAAGCCCAGCTGGCGCTGCAGGTCGATGAGGGCGAAGTGGTAGGTCCGCCAGTACTCGGGGCTGAAGGACATGCCGGCCAGCGCCAGGCGCATGGGCACCTTGGCAGCGTGCTTCTTGCCCCCCAGTGCCGTCCAGAGCCAGAGGTCGTAGACGAACTGGGCGAGCTCGGTGTCGGCGCCGTAGCCGATCACGGGCGAGAAGACCTTGGCCGTGTAGCTGCGCTTGAGCGACTGGCGCTTCTTGCCGTCGGCCTCGGCGTCGTCACTGTCGGCGGAGTCGTCGGTGTCATCAAAGTGCGCAGCCCGTCGCGCGGCCCGCGTGCGCACCACCCGCCGCTCGTCCATCAGGCGGACGTAGGTCTCGCACATGGACACCCTCGGGTACAGGTGGGGCCACAGGGCCGTCTCGATGCCGAGCTGCTCCACGAGGCGCATCGCGAGGCGGCGCTTCTTCTGCGAGAGGTCGTTGCGGTTCCTGCGGAGGAACCTGTTGTGCAAGCGCATGATGGCGAAGTACGCGCTCTTCTGTGGGTGGGCCAGGTAGTATTCCGTGAGCGTGGCCCAGCTGGAGAAGTCCTCCTCGGCGGGGTCGTCGTGCGCCTCGAGGTACTCGAGAGCGTCCATGGCCCTGCGCTGGTGGCGCTCGGGGAGCTCGCTCACGGCCGTGAGGACGTCGGTGGCCTTCCAGCGGAAGCCGATCATGTCGGTGTGGACCCTGTATCCGTGTGCGGCCCGCGCATGCGGCCCTATGGACACCTCCATCGGCCTCAACGCCTCGAGTGCGGCCACGCTGAGGTGGCGCAGCGGCTCGGGGATGTCCTCGATCTGGACGGCGGGGTAGCCCACTCGCTTCTCTGGCGGGCTGGCGCAGTACTTGCACTTGTTGATCCAGGCGCTGCGCTGGCCAGCCTTGCGGCCCTTCTTGCGCTCCGCGTCGGGGAGGCGCATCATCGCCGCCGCCACGTCCGCGGGCGCGAAGGACCTCTTCTCCAGGCGCTTGCAGATCTTGCACATGCCCCAGGAAGCGAGCTCCGCCCACTTGGTGAAGGCCACGGCCTGCGGCTCCGCCCAGTCCTCGACGTCGTCGTCCAGGGCGGTCTTGAACTTGTTGCGCCGGAACTTCCTGTCGTCCCTGACCCAGGTGGGGTAGGCCCTGCGCGTCTGCTTCTTCTGCCGCGGCACCACGCTCACGCGATGCTTGAGCGCCTCCTGCCACTCGCTCTGGAGGTCGGTCGCGGGCACTGGGTTGTCCTTCTTCCGTTGGCGATGGAGCGCGCGTTCGGCGTTGGCCTTGTACGAGTCGCGCTTCTCCTGGCCGAGTACCGCGGCGATGAAGTCGAGGGCGCCGTCGACGAGGTCGGGGCGATCGTACTGCATGAGGCTCTTGAGCGCGCTGGTGATGTCCTGGCCCTTGCGGACGGAGTCCCGCTTGCGGAGGACTTCACCGTCGCAGAACATGCAGCGCGCGTCGCCCCTGTCTGCGTGCACGCGGGCTCGCTCACCAGGGCGCTGGTCTGTGGCATAGACGCAGCGCGCCCCATCTTGCTTACCAGGGCACAAGTTGTTGCCCCAGCGCCGCTTCTTCGGCTTCGGCTTCTCCTCCTGCTCGGGCAGCGCCTTGCTGGCGGGGCGCTTCCGCGCCGCCCTGGACAGCAGCTCCTCAGCAGCATCCTTATCACCTTCGCCTCCCGCGTCAGGTAGCTGCGTGTCTTGCGCGTCCTCCAGGTCGAACAGCGGCAGGTCGTCCTCGCCCAGCAGTTCGTCGTCGTCGGGGTCGTAGCCCTCGGGTTCGAAGAGCTCGTCCTCGCCCCACGGCTGCATCATGCCCTCGGAGATAAGCTGGTCGGCCCACTCCTCCTGTGCCTTCCGTCTCTCCTCCGCGGTGAGCTCGTCGGACCCTGCGGCTTCCTCGGCCTCCGAGTGCGCCGCGGGCGTGTCGGTGCCTTGCGCCGCCTCGCCAGCGTCGGGCGCGGCGGTGCCCTCCTGGTCCCTCAGCGCGTCCTCCCAGAAGCGACGGTGGGAGGAGTCGTCGGAGTCGTCTTCCCCGCCGTCGTCGATGAGGCCGAACACGTTTCCCAGCTCGTCGACGTCATCGCCCTGCGACCCGTCGGACTCGTCTTCGCTGCCACCAGACGCCCCTGCTTCCAGGTCGTAGAACTGCGCCCGAGGTTTGGGCAGCGGTCGGGCAGCCCTTGGCAGGTAGTAGGAGCAGGCGAGGATCCAGTGGGGCGACGAGTGGCCGTCGGGACCAGTCTTCATCTGGAACGCCACCCTGTACAGCAGCGGCGCGCCAAATTCGCCGAACTCGATGACAGGGATGGGCGCGCCACTGCCAACGGTCGGCGCAGCATGCACAACACGACCGTTCACGGACTCCGCGTAGATCTCCAGCGCCTCCGCGTCGACGACGTCGTCGGCCGCCGCGTAGTTCTGCTTCCGCAGGTAGCCCACGGGGTCGTCGAGCTCGATGCGCCCCTGGAGGACCCTGGCGTAGAAGGGGAGCTCGTCTTCGCCAGGGTACCCTGCGCCCCCCGCCAACCGCAGGCGCGCGGCCTTCTGGTGCAGGCCGTCGTCCTCCATGGCGCCAATGATCCTGTCCACGAGCGCCTTGGCCTCCTCGCGCTCGCTCGCCTCCCTGTCGGGGTCATCGTGGATGAAGCCGTTGACGTCCCTCTCAAGCATCCACGCCCGCGTGTCGCGGGCGGCGAGCGCGCAGTAGGAGAGGCACCTCCCGTCTGGCGGCACGGGCACGTTCAGGTCTGGCTGCCGAGGCGGAGCCCGACGGACTTTTTGCGGCCCCGCAGCGACGGAGCTGGCGAGGCCGGCTGCATCGGCCTCGTCCATAGCTGCCGCGGGTCGCTTCCGCGCGGTGCCAGATGCCGCCGCGCGCCTCTTCTGCGCCCCTCTGCCCTTGCCCGCGGGGTGGCCTTGGTCGATCATGTACCTCTCGTAGTCGGCCTTCTTGTACCTCCCGTCAGGATCCCAGCCGTCTGGGACTGCCCGGTAAGTCGCCGTGCCTTCCTGGCCTTCGATCATGAGGTACCTGATAGTGGAGCGGAACAGCGTGACGTCCTTCACGGTCATTGCCCACGTCTTCGCGTAAGGCAGATGAACTTTCTCGGCAGGCCACCTGTGCCTCGGGCGCAGCTCGTTCCACTCGGCGTCGCTCATGATCTGGAAGGGGTCCTCGCCGAGCGTCACGCTGCCCCAGATCTGGCCCTTCTCGCCCACGAGCCGCTTCCCGATGTAGCGCTGGTGCCGAATCTCCAGCGTCTTCGCGCCCTCCAGCATCATATCGAACCTCAGAGGAGGGCCATTCGAGACACCGAAGTTTGCCCTCGGGGTCACCCATTATCGCCACGACTGAACACTCGGAAAAACTGGTGCTGGTGTGACCCTGGGAGAGGTCCAGGGACCGCTTTACAACCCCCAGTATCTCTTACCGCCCTCTTCCGCGAACCATTTCCTGTGGAGCACGAGGATCGGGCCCCCCACGTTCGCCGAAGGTTCCACAATCACGTGAGGCGCAGAAGTCGTCGTCGAGATCGACGTCGATGTCATCGTCGTCGTCGTCGTAGGCCGAAAGGTCTTCAAGAATGGCGCTGCCGTAGAACTCGGGGGCGGCAGGAGGAGACTGGGCGTCGAGGTCACCGTGGCGGCCGCTGTAGTGGTCACAGCCACGAGGGAGTCGTCCATGTAGTTGTCGTTCTCGTAGATGTAGTTGCTCTGCCCGTTGTCCGTGTCGCTGTGCTCCACTTCGACGAGAAGGCGTGCGCGCCCGCGCTGGCTGCCGGTCGGCGATGCCATGCTGCGGGTGGCTCTCATCTCCAGGCGGAAGGAGAAGAACACCGTGCTCGCGACGCAGTAGAGGCCGAGGCCGATGGCGATGGCGCGGCCGAGCTTGCTCGACTGCGCGGCCATTGTCGCGAGGTAAAGGCTGAGAGTTTATAAGCACTCCTGGGCTCGCGCAAAGGGACAGAGGTGTCCGCGGGGATGCAGTTCGAGACACTTGACTCAGCCGACGGCTACGGAAGGGAGAGGGCGCAGGTTCGGAGGTGGCGCAGGGTTCGACTGGCCCAGAGCGGGCCATTGAATATCCGCAAGCGAGGACCCTACACGCATGAGGGTCTCAGGGGTGGGAGGGGTAGATACATCCAGGCCTGGAGAGTTGCGCTCGGACGGCCCCTTGGGTAAGAGCAGGCGGGGTGTGCCCCTCTGTCGAGATTTTATATGATTGCCCCCCTGCGGCGTGCAATCTGAGTGGGCAGGGCAGAGGCGGAGGGCCCGAGGGCGGGATGCAGGCAGGGCATCCAGAGGGTCTGAGGGTTGTGTGGGGTGTAGGAGCGCCCAGGAGCTCCCAGGCGCTCCCGCAGAGTCTCGGGGCACAGGAGGGTCAGAGGGTTGGGAGGGGTAGATGCACCCAAACCTGGAGGGTGGCGCTCAGATGGTCCCCAGGGCCAGAGCACGTTGGGTGTTCCGCATGCGCCCAGCCCCTGAGACTCGCCTTGGGCGCCACGCGCCTCCGCGGGTGCGCTGTGAACCCCTTGAGACAACCAGATGATCCCGACGATGCGACGATGTTTTTTCAAGGGTGGGCCATGTGCGCGCTGTGCACCGCGCGAGCCCAGAGGGTGGCTGGCCGCGCCGACCGAAGGGCGCGCTGGCGGTGCTCCAACATGGCAGGAGTTGCTGGCCGCGCCGACCGGAGGCCGCGCAGGCGACGCTCACTTCTTGGCATCGAGCGACTTGGCCTTGGGCGCGGCCGCCACGGACGCCGCGGGCGCTGCCGCCTGTGCGCCGCCGGCCACACTCGCCGAGCCAGCCGCGGGTGCTTGTTGCGACTTGAACCAAGCCTCGGCCTGCGCCCCGACCGTCTTGAGGGCGGTGAGCGGCTCTTTGGACACCGCGTTCTTGGGCACGGCGTCCATCCCGCGGAGCTCCAGGTAGAAATTCTCCACACCAGCGAACTCCCGCACCCCCTGCGGCACGCTGCCGAAGAGTTCCTTCAGGTCCTGCAGGTTCGGGTTGTCCGAGAGGTGCGATTCAGCCTTGGCGGCGACCTCCTGCGCCTTCGAGGCGGTCCACTGCGTGAAAGCAATCTCCTTTTCCGACGGTGCCTTGGAGTCCTTGGAGTCCTTCTTCTTTTTCTTCTTCTTCTTTTCCTGCGTCGACGAGGAGCTCGCGCTCGAGCTCGACCTCTTCTTCTTGGACTTCTTCTTGCGCTTCTTGTCCTTATTATTCTTCTTCTCGCTGTCGGAGGAGTCGTCGCCGGCGCCCTTCTTCGCGCCGCCCTTGCCGCCGCCCTTCCTGCGCGGGCCATCAGAGTCCTCGTCGTCACCAGCGCCCGATCGGCGCGCGCTCCCCGCCTGCCGGAGGACGTCGGCCGCCGAGTTTTGCTCCCCTGCCGCGTAGCTGCCCAGTTTCTCGCGCGCCTCGTGCATCATCACGGCGAGGGCCTCGAACATCACCTCCTCGTCCCTCGGGTCCTGAAACCAGGCATGCACCTTCTTGTTCTCCGACGTCGCCCGCGGCACCGCGTCCGCCCACTCCGACGGCTTCTTCGCCATGGCGTGCACCTGGAGGAGCTGGAGGGCGCAGACGTACAGGCGCGCCCCGACAACGGCGACAGAGCGCGCCGCCGCCACGGCGCCCTCGCCCTCTGGAGATTTCAGCGCCTCGAACAGCTCCCAGAGCTTCGTGGCGGTCTTCTCCTTGGAGCGCTCCGCATCCTCCATGTTGAAGTTCAGGGCGGCGAGCGCGTCCTGCACGGTCTCGCTCGTCAGGAATTCGACGATGGGGTCAGCCTGCAGGCCGTCCGTCTGAATCGCTTGGACCATTTCGAGCAGACATTGCATGGAGCCCGCGCCCTCGCTCAGTCCAATGCCCGGGCGGCGCTTCATGTGGCAGTTCGAGGCGTCCATCTTCGCGCGGAGCGCCTTGGGCTCGAGGAGCTGGATGTCGCTCATCCTCTTCTGCGCCTTGTCGCGGCCAAAGCACGTGCCCTTGTCGCCTGCAGAGCCACGGAGGAGACCCGCTGGCAACTGCCACCGGTTCATGATCCGCGTCGTCTTCTCCCCGACGTCACCCCCGGCATCGCCCCAGCCGCCGTCGCCCTCCCAGGCGTCCCAGCCGCCGTCGCCCCACCAGGCCTCCTCGCCCTTGCCCTTGCCGCCTGAAGACTTTCCGCCCTTGCCCTTGCCTCCGCCGCCCCATCCGCCTCCGCCGCCGCCCGCGCCCCACTTGCCGCCAGCCTTGCCGCCGCCGCCGCCAGCCCAGGCGCCGCCGCCGCCGCCCCACCCACTCTTGCCGCCCTGCTTGCCCCAGTAGGACATGGCGCTTGTCGGTGGAAGCGAGGCGGATGGCAAAGCTCGGAGCCGCGTCTTGTGCCGAGGTGTGCTACGGAATGCCAGGAGGGGGAGAGTGCTCGTCGAATGATCAGACGGATACTCTTCCGACATGACTCTACCGCCAGCTCTCCCGCCGCTGCCCTGCGCCGTTCTGACAGAGGCCCAGAGCTCCTGTCGCTTCGCCGACCTTCCGCCGCGGCCTCCGTGAGCCTTCCGCCAATGTTTCCGCGCCTAGTCTTGCCCCTTATCACCCCCTCTCAGGGCGCTGACGGTGATCTCTCGAGACTCCTGGGGTGGAGGGCCCAAGGGGAGCAGTTTTTTTGCAGTTAACCATGGGAGTGACAAAGAACACCGAACAGGTCGATTCCCAACAGGCCCGTGGGATGGGAAGAAGCTCTCCTAGAGAGCCGTGGGCTCTTGGGCAATGGCCCATTCACCGTGGGGTTCGTAGTCGCGCGAACTCCGCCCTTCGCGAAACGCAGCGACGCGACCCGACGCGTCGGGTCGAGGTCGCGTCGCAACGCTTCCCCGGGGGCCGCCGCGTGGAGGCGGACGGAGATGGCCCCCTAGGTTTCCGCGCAGCTCTGGCCGACCCCTCCCGCGCGTTGCTGCAAAGCCTCGGGGCCTCCAGCGACAGCGCGAAGGGTCGGCTCAAGCCGCGCGGAAGCCCCCCCCCGCTGCCGAACTTCCAGACCAGATGGAGGCTCGACAGCGCAGGTCGTCGTTGCGTCGTCGTTGGCGGCGGCTGCCAGCAGCTGCGGCGGTGTTTTTGTGGGCGCCGCCCACAGCTGTATCGCGGTGCCGCCGGGCTTTGCCGTCGCTCAGCTGCTCAGGTAGCTGTCGTCCTCCTCGAGGGCGCCGAAATCCACTAATGCTCATTGCTCCCGAGGCAGACGCAACCAGAACCCAGCAGCGGCGCAGGCGCCGCGCCGAACTGGCTCGGCCAGGAAGGCGCGCCCGCGGCGCCTGGGCCCAGGGAAAGCGCGGCCCAGGGACATGAATCAGTAGTTTTCGTGGCCCGATCCTCAGCTCAGCAGCACGCCGCGGGCGCCCCCAGGAGTTCCAGGACGAGCGACTCCGCGGGCCGTGGCAGGCGCGCCGCTGCAAGCCGCGCCGTGGCGCGCCACGTGGAGGCCCGAGCCGCGCCCTGCTGCCGGTAGCGGGCCATCTCCTGGTGAGGATTGGGACCCGCCCAGTGACGCCAGTGCGCTGGGTCCGCGGCCCTGGGGTCCGTGCGGACGCTGCCGCCGATGTGGCACGATGGCAGGCCCGTGGTGAAGGACCACCACATGCCTGGCGCGCCAGCGCCGTCCTGCAGCGGGCGGAACGCAACCCGAACCAACGCACTCTGGCGAGATGATCCAAGGCCCGCTAGGCCCTCCTCAGGATGTCCGGACAACGTCGGCTCAAACAAACTGAAACACCATCGGCGGCGACATTCCGGCGTGCGTTTTTCATCGGGTTGCGTTCGATTCCCCCATGAAGCCTCGCCGGCCCAGCGGTTCGCCTCGTCCGCGTAATGGACCCACGGGAGCTCCTCGAGGTAGATCCACCAGGAGGAGCCCCAGCGCCAGATCCACGCGCCCTCCTCTGCACTCCAGTGCCAATGCCCGTCGGGCTCGCCACCGCCGCCGCGCCACAGCCAGATGCCAACGGCGACGGCGACAACGCAGGGCCACATGGCACGCGAGCGGGCGCGGAGTAAGCTGTGAGCGACGATCTCAGCAAAAATCCTTGAACCAGAAGGCTCCGGAATGATGCTCCCAGGCGCTCCCAGGCGCTGGGTTCCTGTGGGGTTCTTGGGGGCGCCTAGGAAGCGATAGAATCCTTGGGGGAGCCTGAGGGCTCCTGGGGAGCTCCTGGGGAGCTCCTGGGGAGTCCTGGAGGGGTCCGAGCCAGCTCCTGGGGAGCTGGGGTGCTCCTGAGGGTTGCCCGCAGGCACCTCCTATGAGCTTCCCAAGCACTCCCAGGCGCCCAAAAGCGCTCCAGAAGCGCTCCGAGGCGCTCCCAGGCGCTCCCAGGCGCTCCCAGGCGATCCCAGGCGCTCCCAGGCGCTCCCAAGCGTCCCCAAGCGCTCCCATGCGCTCCTGAAGCGTTTCAGGCGCTCCCAAGCGTTCCAGCAGCGCTCCAAGGCGCCCCCAGGCGCTCCCCAGGCGCGCTGAAGGCTCCTGGGGAGCTCTGGGGAGCTCCTGGGGAGCTCCTGGGGGCTGGGGTGCTCCTGGTAGGCTTCTTCTCGCAAGCACCTCCACTGAGCCTTCCCGGGTGCTCCCCAGCCTGTAAGAGCTTCCTAGACCACCCGCGTTGTCCTATTCCCTCGGGTTTCGGGCTCCAAGCGGCCCAGAGATGAGTTTTGCGCGCCCCGCCCCTTGGCTAGTGAGTGGAAAACTGGAAGACTGGAGCCGGTGCTGCCAAAAAACGGGGCTGCGCTGGAGACTCCGAACCTTGAGGGGCTTCTCACAAGGGGCAAAAAACAGCCACGACGAGCGCGCGCACAGCAAACAACAACCTTCGGCGACACACGCGCTCCGTACTTAGGCGCGCCGGCGGTCTGCTCCCAGGCGACCCCAGGCGCTC